ATGTCTATCCCCCTGTAGTCCTTGTATAATCATAGCCAGGGAGTCTGCCATCCTGGAAACTTCGAAAACTGTAGGAGTCAGGTCTGTGGTTCCTTTTCGAACACCTGCATTGTACAGGATGGTTTCACAAAGCCTAATCTTCATCGAAACATAAACTAAGGCCTCTTCAAGTTCATTAGATCAGCAGAAGTTTTCTAAACCCAGACCCTGACCCCTATCACAAGAAGCCTCGCTTGTGAGCATAGATCTCAGCCATGCGAGAGGGAACAATCACAATCGTTATAAGTTACCCAAAGCAGGTATTCCAGTGACCTGTGCCCCGAACCCAGAGACCCCAAGACCCCTTAATTAAGGAATGTACCTTAAATCATCATATTAAGGCCCCTATGTTTTAAGGTATATTCCTTATTTAAGGAGTAGTGGGCTCTCTGGGAAGGATCCTAGCTTTACCTGTCGCCTTTCTCTTCCTTTCGGGCCCATGGCCTTCGAAGCCAAAGGGTTCCCGATTCCCCAAACTTGGAGGACCATGGGACTTAGTCCGTATGGCTATATTAAATACGCTAGCTATAGTTATAACCCCATGACGGTACTTGTGACCGTACTTACCAAGTCCCATGATCCTCCAAGGTAGGGTTTAGGGTCTAGGGCAGTTTAGGGCTAGGGGAAACCCTTCAGCAATACAGGAGGCAAAAAACTCGAAGCCATGACTCTCCCCAAATCCGGAGATCCGATTGTGCAGACAACGTCTGGCGTCTCCGTTGAGGCGCAGCAAAGCCCTGGAGCCCTGGACCCCGTAAGTAAGATCCATGAGACCCCCTTTTAACACTTCATAAATACAACCCTTAATTAACTTCTACGATGATAACATCTTGTTAGAACTCTATAAGGCCACTTATAACAGCTTATCATAACCACGCTTTGTAAAAGCCTCGAGATCCCAAGATGCAGGCAGTGGGCCTTCGTCCTGCAGCTGCATGAGCAGATGCGTGCCTGGACTTCATCGTGTTCAGCAGAAGCCGGGAGTACGGTTTCCCGTTCAGGGATTGTGGTTTGGTTTTCGGGTTAAGTCCGGTTAAGCCACAACTTCAGAAGTCTGAGCCGTCCTGAAGCCATGCTGCACCATCTTCGAAGCAAGCAGGCAGCTTAAAGGAGCTTTTTTGATGCTTCAAACCCTGTATGCAGCCTCGCACCGCAGCTGCTATTTGCTTCTCCCATCGTAGCTGAAAAACACCTCAAGCACTTAAGCGGAGTGGTTGGGGCTTCCGGACCGGCGGCCGTCTTCGTATGCCGAGAGAGCACAATACCCCTTAATTGAGGGGCGTGCCAAGGTGAACGGAAGATCCAGCCTACACCAATCACAGCGCAGACGACAGCGGCAGCTTGGAAAGAAACGGCCGGGTGCCGGGAGCGCGAGCCAGGATGTGCGCAGCTGAGGCATTGCTTGAAGACTGCCTGCAACGGCGGCTCTGCGCTTACTGCATCTGCAGCGATTGACACGAGCGAGAATATGTGATTTCTTGTGCTTATGGCATGCAGCGGGTGCCCCCTAGGCCATAACGGACGGAGTCTTTGTTTGCGAGTGATGGTTCTGGCCTCCAAGAGATCCGATTACGCATCAACACCTTATATACTCGGTCACATAGTCTGTGGTAGGCCGCACTTGATATTCACTTGGATGGCGACAGCTTGTGTTGAGGCTGGAACTGCTACGAATGCTTTCGTGACGGTATGCATGCGCGAGTCGTACCCATGCCTCGTGACCGACTTGTGCAATGAGAAGCAATTTCATCGTAATCTGCCACCGTAGGAATGGTATGGGCCGATAGCCAAAATTGATAATTTTTGTTACTGCAGGCCCAGTGGGGCCGGAAAGAGGATTTGATCCGCACATCATCGCACGCACACCCGTCAACATAAGTTCGTCGCCCCAGATCAGGCGTGATTCCGCGAAGTCATGTCGTGACATTGAACAAGAGCCGGGGGTTAAGGTTTCTGGTAGCCTTCTCGGCCTCCGGCTGAGACATGCAAAATGCAGCCCAGGCAGACAACCCCACAGCTTGAAAGCTGGACACCCTTTTCGTTTTGCAAAACAAAAGCCACCCGAGCTCGCTATTTTGGGTCCCAAGTGTCAGACGCATCACCAGCTGTCCACACTAAACGAGCTTGAATTTCTGGCTTCAGAACTTGGAAAACCAGGCCCCAAATTTCCCAAAAAGGCGTCCTCCCGATGCTCTGCCGGCCCCAATGGGCGAAGCTTGGCGCCTTCTGGTGGCGGCTGGCAGCGGGCGCCACCTGAGGGAATTGAAGGGATGCTTCAAATCTAACAGAACGGCTTGGGGCTTGCGACATAGGGGGCCTTGGGTAAGGGGTGATTCTGAGATTCTGGCAGACTTCAGAAGGGTTTAGGGGCACCTGGAGCCGGGGGCTTCGAGGGGTGGGAGCCGGCACATTTACGAATCGCACTGGATGAGATTGTTCTGCGCCCTTCGTAGTCCTGAAGCCCTCGAAGCACCGGAGATGGGAGAGTCAGCACCCTCATCCTTCTAGAATCTAGAACTTGTCGGAGAGCCTTCGCTTAGAGCGATTTTGGGCTTCCGAGCCCTTCCCTGTAGTTAAGCCCTTATATAGACTTCTTGGAATTGAAAGGACCCCATACTACAATGGCCCCTCAATGCTTCTACCATAATTCTACTGAGCCCCTATATCTTGTAGTCGCCCTTCTAAGCTCTGTTTTAAAAAGAGCCCTAAACCCCAAACTCTAGGACCCCTGAAGCCTAAACCTTAGTCCTTGGACCCCCCGCTCAGGCGGCCCGTCCGCTTTGGCGCTGCGCCCAGCAGCCCGGGGTCTTTACGGAGTTTCTCCGGAGTTTTGGTTTGGGGGTTTCGGGTTTAGGGTTAAGAGGGTTAAGGGGCTTTAGGGGGTTAGGGGGTTTAGGGGTTTAGTGTTTAGGGGTTTCGGGTTTAGGGTTGGCACCTCAGTCCGTGCTGAAAATTAGGGGTTAGGGGTTTTATAGGGGTATAGGGGTTTATTGGTCCATAGGCCATCATAGGCCATACTTGTAGCCGAATAGACCTACCTTTTTTTGGAGTCCTTAGTATGGTTTCTGTATATACTTCCTTCGACAGGTAGGCCATAGGCCATAGGGTTTAGGGTTCTGAAAAAACCCCAAACCCAACACCCTTCGCCCCTAAACGAGGCATAGGTTAGTGAAAACTAACTGGTGCACTCCATTCCCTTAAACACTCGCATTCTCTCCTGCTGTTTACTTGTCGCTACGTCAGCCATGGGTAAGCAAGCTGTGCTTTTCGCTCAGGGACTGCCCCGTCTTGGTTCCGGCACGGTTTATTCTGCGGATAGCGGATTCCTTGCCGAGATCGTAGCGGGACTGACACCTGAGCAGAGGGTTTACGTTGAGGACCTGTTGGAGTACGTTCCAAGAGACGTGGCGTTGCTGCGTACTTGGGTTTTGTGGCGTGCTTCCGCGGCTTTCGGCGTGGGGGTGGAGAAATTTTCGTTCCGCTTGCACAGGTTCTGTGTGGTGGAGCCATCGTATGTCGTCGTCCTGGTTCCCATACTGGACGGCGTCCCACTTGAAGACTTTTTGATGCCTCTCACGAAGCGCGAGAAACAGCAAATGCTGTCGGCCCGGACAGAAGTTTTTCCTGACCCGGCCGTCGCGTCTGCTGGTAAGGAGCGTATCCTTCCATTCTTGCCTTTTGAGGGTGGTGCCCGCTTTGTGCAGCACGCCGGGCGTGGCCACGTCACTATGGAGGTCCAAGAGGAGGTCAGAGTAGACTCTGCTGGTAAGCGAGTCAGTTGGTGGACCGTGACCAAGGTTGTGACCGGGGGCTACTTTCTGTACTTGATGTACACCATCGTGCAGATTGCCCTTGTTTTGCTTTCTCTTGGGATCGTGGATCTTCTGACTGGTGAGCCTGAGCCCGTGGGGTCTCCTTGGAACTTCGTTTTTGAGCCTTTTCGACGCGGCGCCCGCTTTACGCTGATGCTTATCGACGGCTTCATCTTTGCCAGCGCCAATATTGATGTCTACGACTGGGTTGCCGTCAAGGAGGCGCTCCAACGCGCTTACTCCTTGCTTTCTTGCAAAGTAGTCGGAGGCTGTTTGGTCGCTGTCACCCGATGGTATGATCCAGACATTGGTTCCATGCCGTTCGCTTCAGACGTCGTGAGCGTTGCTTCCAGCTTCGCCCTTACGCGTTATGCGATTCCGGCTGTGGCCAATAAGGCTCATTACGTGGGTACGATGATGGTCGCCGACAAGATTTGGCGGAGTCTGCCCAGTTTGCCAGAGGGAGGTCTCCGCTTCGCTTTGCCGAGCCTGCAGCGGTTGCTTTTTGGAACATTTTTCTACGCTGCTTTGTGCGCCGGCGAATTGGAGCTGGGGTCTTTCAAGCCGTTGAACGGCAAAGTTGCATGGAGCTTCGTGCAGCATGCCGGTATGAACTCGGCCGAGCCTATCTCGGCTGAGTACTGGGACCGGCCCGTCGTCACCTTCTGGGCCTTGCGCGACAAGCGCTTGGCTCCAGTTGGAGGAGGGTGGTTGGTGCACGGGGCAGTGCTCACTGCCGGACACGTGCTTGACGCGATGAATGTGCTCAAGGAGCAAGGCGCGGAGATTTACGTCGGGCGTTGCCACCGTGAGGTTTGCAACGTCCACGGCCTTTTCAAGTTCGACCCGAAACTCATTGCACGCCCTTCCGTCTCTGATCTCAAGAGGACAAGAGGAACCCAATCGCTGGGGACTTTGCTTTGGTCGAGGCTCCGAAGAACGTTGCTCAACTTGGGCTTAAGGTTGGACGCGTTGGTTTTTCCGCTGTCAGCAATGACGTTGTTTCTTCTGGCCATTACCGCTTGGTTTCTGGAAAGTGGGTTTTCCACAGGACGTTTGGGATTTGTCAGTTTGGGACCCCCTCGATCGCTGGTCAAGAGCATCCAGGGGCTTGCTTTTGGTCTGGTGAGTCTCAGTCGAGTGCGTCAGGGTTTCCGCTGTTGTCTGCCACCAAGGAACTGGTCGGCGTCAACATTGGAGCTCTAGAGACCGAGAATCGCTCGACCGCTGTGGCCGCGAAAGCTACGTCTATTTTCCGCTATTTCATATCCAGGCGTCGAGCGTTTTTCAGTAAGAGCCGATTTGGAGTTGTTCCCCAAGGACTCGAGCCCCCCAAGGGCAATATGCCCCATGGCCCCGCTTTCAACCAGCACTCTCGCAAGAGGGAAGAGGATGACGACGAGGCCAAATGGGAGGCTGACGAGGACGAGGAGGACGACGATGAGGCTTATGCTAGGAACGACGACGAAGAAAGGGAACTGCGTGAGATTGACGATGCCGACGACGAGGATGCTGCAGCGGCTGAGCGGGAGATCACGCATGCCGACCTAGCTCCGACGTCGGAGTTTGCACAAGAGTTACCAGGCTTCGGCATCTCGAAACGTACCACATTTTCCGATCGTCGCTCCAAAGTCCGCAAGCACGATGGCTCAAGTCTTGGCCGAGCGCCTGTCGTGAAGGAGGTTCCTGCGCCTCCTGATTACGAGAGGAAGAGTCGCCCTTTCAAGGTTGGGGAGAACGTGAAGGTTAAGCCAGATTACCGGCCCAAGTACTGTGCGTGTTCTGTCATGGCGACAGTTGGTGCCACGTGCGCTATGTGCACGTACTTTTGGTCACACGCCGACAAGCTTGCTCATGCTGTTTGCGGGACCTTGACAGAGGCTGATTCGCTGTGCAAAGCCGATGTGCGAACCGCCATTTTGCGCGATGTGCCCTTGACGGCATTTGAGCGCGACATGCAGGTTTTCAAGTCCAAGCCGGGCAACTTGTCTGAGGCGGTTTGTTTTGCCAAAGACAAGGCGGGCGACACTTTTCTCGTTGAGGCTGGCACCTGCTCCAAGCCCCGTTTCAGCCAGAAGAAGAAGAAAAACTCTGAGCTTTCTGAACCACAGAAGCTCAAGGACGCTTGCGCAAAGGTCGACATTGAACTCAATGCGCTTTTGCCGGACAGAAGTACCGAAGGACAGATTTCCTCGCTGAAAGCGAATGTGGCCAAGCGGCTCAAGGACCCTTTTAAGGGGACTAGGGCAGAGCTCGCCGCTACCGAACCGTTTTGCAGCTTGGAGGTCGACCCGGTAGATCTGTCTGACGAGGCCGCGGTGAGGAAAGCGATCTTGTGCGGGTTTGCCGACCTCAGGATGGACAAGTCCGCTGGTTCTGACGGGCACCTTAACGGCGCCGTCACCAAAGGTGAGGCCCTCCTGGCCCACCGTGGCGACGTCGAAGAGGCTGCTCTTCGAAGGATCAAGCGGTTAGTTTTGCTGGGTGACGCAGTCTCGCTCTTCACTGGCACTGAGCTTGTCGAGTTGGGCGTCAGGTCTCCTGTTTTCCCGTCGATCAAAGATGAATTGACGGAGTTGCGCAAATGTTTTGAGTTTGTCGAGGGGCGCATTTATTTGACGCCCGACGGGCGGCGCGTTCAACTGCAGCATCCCCGGTGGCGCTCAATTTTGGTTCAATCCACGATGACACCAGGAGGTATTGCCACAGTCATGTACAGTGATGGCAGTAGGCAGTCGTTCCGTGAGGAGGATCTACGTGGTTTTGTAGGCCAGTAGTGCTAGGGTGTCTTTGTTGGCTTTATTGTTTAGTAGCCTGTTTGGGACTGCACGGGATCCGACCACACGGAAGCATGAGACAATACAGCATGTCTCATTTCTGCATGTGCATTTTGCTCCCGAACTGCCCCTGTACTCTGCTCTTGGCATAGCCTTCTCATTGTGTATGCTGTTTCCTGTTCACTTGAAGTGCATGAATGCATGGAGCATGACTTTGAAGTCGGAGTAATTCCTGAATTTAAGTGGAAGTGCATGTTGCATGTGGAATTCTCTGTACCATGAGCATGTTGATGAATTCATGGAATACTTGAATTTGTTTGAATGTGGTGCATGATGTGTGAAACTGCATGCCTGCATGATATACATTTACAACATGCCGTCTTCGCAGGCTGTTTTCTCACTGATACTTAGGCTCGTGTCTGATTTCCACTTTGTTGATGTGAGACGGCATGCACGACAACCTGCTGCGTCGATGCTCCACAGGAGGCACTACGAGCAGTAAACGACGCCGGTCTGGCACGGACAACTGCCCCAGCAAAAGGAAGCTTAAAGCCCGAGTGAGTAGCCGTCGGAGTTCAAGGTTGGTGTGGGGTCTTCAGCGTCTTGACTGCGACTTTGGGGTGCGGCAGGTTTGGACGAGCTCGGGACAGGTTCCTAGATGTGTCTTGTTAGCCAGTCCGAGCAATGAAGCCGTAAGTACCAGTCATGCCAGCCCCTTCATGGATAGGACATAGTTATCGGCTTCGCCGTGGCCCTCCTTGCTTGTTGTGGTGGGGTGGATGATGACGAGATGGATTGCGCCGATGCTTTGTGGTCCGTCCGGGGTATGGATGACGAATGTCCCTTTTTTGACAGTTGCTGCAAGAGCAACGAACTAACTGGCTAGGGGCTTAACCCGACTGAACCCCTCTTTCCCTAACCCGCGCTCTGCCATGTATGACGTTCTCGGTGCATCCCCCTGCGACGTCAATGTCGACGGGACTGAATGTTCATGACCTGTGGCGACTGCTGGAACACTTAGATGATGAGGACAGCTCTGCCCTGGCTTGGCTGTTGCAGACACATGTACGGAAACTGCGAGTTTCTCTGCCGGAGCTGAATGCGGTTGCCCTTGTCCGGGCCTACTGGGAGCACCTGGATAGGCTCTGTCAGGCATGGGTGCTCACACAGCCGACGGAGGAGGACATGGAAATGGTGAAAGACATCGTTTCTCGTCTGGCTCGCAAAATCACGATCCGTACATGGTTTCTGTATGTGGATCACTGCTTTGATGCGAATACTTCGTATCTGCGTGGGAGCAGGCTGCCACTCTGAATGACGCTCCGTACACATGGTGCAGTGCTATATCAGTGTGTGCAGTTACTATATGATATACAGCATTGCAATGAGGAGGCCAAGGCTATTGGGTATAGCTGGAGATGAGTGCTTCCTTGGAGACGGATACCGCTGTTGTGGAATTCGGGAAGCGTACAGTGAGAGAGAATTTATGTGGGAGAATTTATAGTGGAATACGTGAAAGCCATGGACAGTTGGGCGAAAGCTGATAATTTGATGCTGTGCTGAATTGATTGAGGCTGCATGAAGGGTGGATGATTCTTTGGCGCGCAGAATTTACTGCATGGTATGATGTTGGAGAATTTATGACGTGAGCAGAGACTGCATGACGGGTGAATGGTGTTTTCGCTGCCCAGAATTTACTGCATGGCATGATATTCGACTGCATGTTCTGCTTGGAGAGTGGTTTGGGAATTTGTGACTTGGGCAATCAATGCACTATAAGGTGCTGCCTGCATGAGATTATGAGACGGTGCATACATGTACGTGAGGAAAGTGAAGCACTGCAACTCTGCATGGTGTTTGGTGGTGCAAGAGTTTGGTTAGTGAGTGTGTGAGAGTCGGCACGTGTTTTGAAAGAGCTCTGAGAGAATCATCTCAGTCCGTCGTTTGTTCTTGCTGTGGGACTGTAACTGGCTGACTTCTGGCCTAATTTGGCTTGAGGAATGCCTGCAGGCCCGTAGTGACCTAGCGGAGACCGAACCAGAGCCTTGCCTGCTGCGTGCGAGCGTGAGTGTCGAAACGAGGTTTGTAAAGGGTTAGGGTTCGAATATAGGGTTTAGGGTTTAGGATTCGAAGATGGGGTTCAGGGGCTAGTATGTCATAAGGCTCCTCCTTCTAAAAGTAGGGCTTGCTAGGGTTTAATGGGCTTTTGTTTTTTTTTGGCGGTTTTGTTAGGCTTTCCATAAGGGCTTTTGTAGTGCTTTAAGAGGGTGTTATGGGGACTAACAGGGCCCGAATGCTTTCAAGACCCTGCGAGCCCGAAACACCCTGGAACTCATTAAAGCCGAACCAAAAGAACTTGATGTGGCCTGATGCGCCGAGTAGGGTTTTGGGGGTTCCTTATAATAACAATAATAATAATAATGGCATAAGATAGTCCCAAGCCCTATTCTAATCATTAAGGCTCCTATATATTATTTCTGGTAAGGTTAGTCGCAGGGTGAGCCCGAAACACCCTAAACAGCAGGAGCCAAAAGGAGCCCAGAATCGAAGCTTAGGGTTCCTTGGCTTCGGGAATTCTCTCTTGGGAGCAGGGTAGGTTTGGGGTTTCGGGTTTGGGTTTTCAGGGCTCGGAATTCGGGCTTAGGGCTTCTTCTGTAGGGTTTCTACTGTAGAGACTCTGAGTCGCTGAGTTCTCCCGCCGCGGTGGCTCTCAGGGTAGGCCGATCCTAGATCGGTGCTCTTGCGGACGGCCTGGGGTGATGACCAGGCCGCTGGGATGTAGGCTCAAGGGGTTGAAGAGGGTTGAAGCAGATATTCTTGAGGCAAAGGATAGCCGATGGTAAAAAACAGCCACTTCGATTCACTAGGACGGCGACTGCTATTACCCTAAGTGCCACTGATGCTATTAGCTACTGCTGCCGCCTTTTTGTTCTGATCAGCTCAAGGCCCCGATGGGTCCCTCGCAGCTCCTAGCGGCGACCTCAAAAGTCGCGAAGCCACGCCCCAGACGGGTGACCGATGCCCGGAAGACCTCCCATCCCAACCCTAAGACTCCAAGAAGGCACAAAACCCTGAAAGCCGAAACCCTGAAGCCCTCAAGCCCTAAAGCCTCAATCCCCCTGGAAAAGTTTCTGCTAGACTGCCGGATATCGGAAAGGGTTTCGGAAGTTTCATGTAGGGGTCGGAAGAATTGCTAGCAGGACCGCGCGAAAGTCCCAGAGCCAGATTCCAATTGTTAAGGCCGGTACTTCAGGGTTTAGGGTTGTCAGCCCCCAACAGGATATCTAACGTCGACTCGGATGACTACTACCAGGCCCCGACGTGACGTGATCTTGAAATCTCTTGAGCAAAGGTGGCCTAAAGAATTAGAACCAGGGCTCCTTTCAGGGTTCCCTTACGGCCCCTTTAGGGTTCCTCTAAGGGCTACTTTAGGGGCTCCTTTAGAAAAGGTGCGTTCCTTTTTCACAGTTTTCCACCAGGCTTACCGGGTGCCGTGGGTTTCAAGGTCCAGCAAGGAAGACTCCCGATTAGCAAACCCCTTTTCTTTCAAGGGTGTAGGGTAAAGGGTATATACAGCTATCCTCGCGTGACGTTGGAAGCCAGTTGCAGCAAAGGGGTAAACAGGGCCTTTGCTGTAATTTATCCTTAGAATTGAAGAGGGTCTATTTCTCAGGGGTGTGCACTGTACACTAATTCAAGGCGCCGAGAAAGGCCTTTCATGAGTCATCCAATTATTCAGTCCCCTAGAGTTAGCTTAACAGCACTGAAAGCCGGCACGCAAGGCCTGACAGGTAATTCGCGCTAACTACACGTACCTTTGGAGGAACTGCCAACGCCACTTCCAACTTGCAAGTGTGCCCTACCTTGGACCTAGGGAACACCCTCTTATAGATAAGCGTTACAACCGAAGCCCCAGGAGGTAGAGAATCCAGTATCTCCCGAAACGTATGCTTTTTATTGCTTGGTTTAGGGTCTTTTGGGGTTTAGGGGAATTAGGGTTTAGGGGTTTAGGGGTTAGCCTTTCCGGGTTTAGGGTTTAGGGTCTTATGACCTGATATTGCGTGCTTTCGGTGAACTCCCGCATATCCTGATAGCGTCCCAGTCGAAGCCCCGAAACCTCACACCAAGCATAGGCCCGAGGCTCTTACGCACTCAAAGCCCCAAAAACCTAAAACAACAGCGGCTTGGTGCAGGTGCTAGGCATCCCCCGGGATGCCAACAACAGCGAGGTGACCAAAGCATTTCGAAAGCTCGCGCTGCAATACCACCCAGACAAGCAGCAGGCAAGGTCGACGACAGTTTACCAGAAAGCTAAACCCCGAAATCCACTCAACCCCTGAACCCTATAACCCCTAAACGCCTAAACCTTAAACCCCAAACTTCAGGTTTGTATGAACCAGCCACCCTCACATGGCTGTATGGAGTGTGGCCGGGCTCTTTCGGGGTTCATCTCTTCGGGGGGTTGCGAGTTTAAGCTCAGGGCTGTGCTGGCATCCCAATACCCTTTAATTAAAGAATATACCTTAAATTGTAATATTAAGGCCCCTATAATTTAAGGTATATTCCTTATTTAAGGGGTATTGGGTTCTCTGGGTTAGCCAGCCAGCAAGCTCCCGACTCTAATTGCGTCTGCAAATCTGCCCAAAGTCGGAAAGTCACTCGAAGTGAACCCGTCAATTTCACCATGGAACGCCCCTACATGATGAGCTATAGGCCCCTAAATCCCTATAAACCCTAAACCCCCAAACTTACCCCTAAACCCCAAGCACATGCTTGCAGCCTCCCAGGAGAACAAGAACGAGTCGGAGGCCAAGTTCAAGCAGATCTCGGAGGCCGGTTTCTTTAACTGCTCTTAAGGAATTATGTTTTATGTTTCTTACAATAGAACTCAGAACTCCGGGGGGTTAATTAAAAAAATCACTTATTTTGGGGTTGTGCATAGTGGTGCAGGAGCACTCGACCATCTTTGATGGAAGGGAGTACAGTCCTGCCGATCCCATGCCTGATGTAAAAGAAGGCAGGGACCGTACCGCGGACGGTGCAGACTTTTCCCCCTAAACCCTAACCCCCTAAACCCTAAACTTCTCGTTTCTGGGAGGTCTGGGGTTTCCTGCGCACCGTGTAGCGAGCAGCAGTTTTATGCAGATCACAGAAGCAGTACATTCTCGGTACATCAGATCATCAACAGGCGAGGCGAGGCAACGCAGCTAAGCCGCCCTAAAGCCCAAAACCCTCATCTAAGTGAGATGGGCCCTGGGATCCATGTGAATGCGGGCCAAGCCAACCCAAACAATGGCGAGCCCGAAGCTCCGTCAGTTTGTCAGTGCATCGTCCAATTTTCCAGAGCCCCACAGAAGAGCCTCTCACCTTGTCAAGAAGGATACTACTTACTCAGGTAGCTGACCATGTACTGTTGCATTGCACTGGCCCTTCTCGCGTCGTGCCGGATGATTTCTGGTTAACGGACGGGTTCGAAGAGGCGGCTTGAAGCATCGCGATCCAACGGCAACTGTGCGTTTGTGAAAGAGTGACTCTCAGAATGACCAATCCCAGAAGCTAGGGACCTCGTGTAGAATGAAGTGCTATGGAAAAGTGACTAAAAGTTGAAGGCAGAGGAACCGGAGACCTTGTCGTGTATGACGCTGATGTGACACGGGGACAGAAACGCATACTATCAAACGGTGGCAGAAATCATCAGAACTAGTGTTGGTGCAGTACGAGATGAGGAGACATGGCATAGATGTTGCTCTCAAGTGGAGTTTATGTGCTTATGCTGCAGAAGCTCCGCCGGGGTCTTCTCTCCCCCGTCCCCGGGTACAGGCCTACGACACCTTGCATGACCCGGAGAAGCGCAAAACATATGACCACTTTGGAAAGCAAGTCACAGGCGCTGCCGTCAAGGGAGGTTTGTTCCGAGCCGGTAGCCTTTATGTCATTATGAGTATCTCTCGGAATTAAAATATAGGGGTCGGCATCAGCCATACTATTCCTTGCGGGTCCTTAACATTCGGATCCCACCGGAAGGCTTGATGGGCTTAGTCATTAGAGCTTCGTCTCTTTCCGGAAGGTCTTGGGGCATTTCAGGAATTCGGAGTGAGCTCTCACGGTTACCGAAGGCCCGGTCCTCGTCCTGCCTTTCCTCTCCATTGTCACTCCTTTTGCGTGTCTAAGCAACATCTATACTTAGGACTCTATCTTTTAGGATCCTAAGTTAGGACCTAAATGGTAACTCGAAGAAGGCACTACGTTTTGAAGACTCTAGGTACCCAGAGAGCCCAATACCCCTTAATGAAGGAATATACCGTAGGCCATAATATTAAGGACCCTATCATTTAAGGTATATTCCTTAATTCCCCCATAGAACCCTTATAGAGACCCTTTTAGATCCCTTTAAGGAACCCTATAGTTTAAGGTATATTCCTTCTTTAAGGGGTATTGGACTCTCTAGGCAGACCGGCTCCCTGCCTCCTCGAGCAACGCCCTGCCCAGCCGATGTCTGGGCCTGGCCATGCTGGGGTAAACAAAAGCCTAGGATCCTACTCCCGAAGCCCTAGAACCCTAAACTCCCTAAACCCTAAACTCCCTAAACCCTAAACCTTCGAATCCTAAACCCTAGAAATCCTAAAGCCTAAGCTCCCTAAACCCTCGAATCCTAAACCCCTCAGCGTTCAAGGGGCAGGGAGTCCGGAGGGTCTAAGCCCTGCTATGACTTCTAGACCCGGAAATTTCTAAACCCTAGCACCCGAGAGCCTTAAAAACTGGGTTTAGGGTTTATGGCCCAAAGCCCCAAATCCGGGCAAAACCAGCAACCCTCAGCAGAAACCGTAATGAAAGCAAAAGACCCGTAGATAAAACCCTGAGCCGTAGCCGTAATCTGCCTGGAGGCACCAAGACGACACACATCAGCGCGGAGGAGCTAGACTTCCTCTTCGGCAGCTGTCCCTTGCTTGCTTTTGGTGCTCCGAGGTGCATGCTGGACATGTGAGCTGAGGATGCAAGAACCCGCGCTCAAGCATCATGCGGTGAACATAATACTTTTCACCAAAAACGCTGGATGTATGGTTCGGGGATGTTTAGGGAGTAGTACGGGTTGCAACCCGCAGTGATTTTGGCGCAAGCTCTTGCAGCTCTTCGTTGCCCCTCTGGCCTGCAGCGCTACGCACGATGCCGCGCTCGAGCCGCCCTCTCGTTTGCCTGTGCCTTGTGGCTGCAGGGTACGCGGGTGTCCGGCTCGCAGCCTTTGTGGCTGCGCCCGCTGCGGCGAAAGCTCCTCGCACGCAGCTCCAGGCACGGGGAGGCGGCGAGTACGATGTCAGTGACGCGGACATCCAGGCCTTCTACTCCTCCCTGCTCACCGGCAGTGGAGGTGACCCCCCAAAGGGGACGGTGCTCTCTGAGCTCGTGGTGAAGTTCTTCCACGGCGAATTCACGCCCCAAGGCTTCAAGCGCTACTCCGGGCTTTGGAAAGGCCCGCCCCCAGGCAGCATCGGCAAAAAGGACATCGCTGTGGGCGTCCAGGGCCTCAAAGCTCAAATGGCGAACCCAATGTTCGTAACCAAGGGTGGTGTTGGCTATGGCGTGGATGAGACACAAAAGGTCGTCGATGACGGAAAGGGATGGGTGTGGCTGGCAGCTGAGATGAGCCCTGGAGGTCTCGCCCTTGAACTCTTCAAGTCCGTTCCTTACGGCAAGCGCGCCCTCCTTGTCGCGAAGCAGAGCAACGTCGACGAGCTCTTCAACGCAGTGAATTGGGACACTGCACTGGCCAACGTTGAGAAAACTTTCGGCGGGCCTCAGATCAAGCAACGCTGAGCCCAGTGCGGGCCGCGCACAGTGGAGCTTGTTGGCCGCGTCCCAGCGGTGTTTGCGGCCAGCACGTTGGAAAGGCGCATACCTCTTTTTCAATAGAGTTTCTCATTGTAACTTATAAATATCAAAACCCTATTCTGATTATTCAGGCCCCCATCTTGTGAGCTATGCTCAGCCTTTCAATTTCTTCGATCAGAGGTTTTGCGCATTTGCAGCATATCGTGCAGCGACGGTAGGAATGTAGCATGGGAGTGCAGGGGAGCAACCACTTGTGTACGTGCAGACGGAGCGCAAAACCCAATTATAATTGTTCACTCTTGAATGAAGCCGCCCAATTTCTTGCGCAGCCAACCAATAAGGAGAAGGCCGAAAAAATGCATTGCGATTTCAGGATTCAGCTCGAGTTGCCCTGATGGTAGTAATCCTGACAAGATAGTGACCAATAGTATTCAGTATTCCTTAGGGTTGCATTGTTATCACCAAACCACCACAATAATTCCCCAAAGCCCGATTGTGCAATTGGTGAGACGCCTGCATTCAGCCCTTATACCGACTTGGGGTGGGGATTTTGTCTCAAGGTTACGAGTGTTTCGGGTATGACGGGGTTTGGTTTTGAATCAAGCCTTTGGTCCCTTAAACCCTCAACCCTCCCCCTAAAACCCCCGAACCCCAAACCCTCACCCTACAGCCCATCAACCCTTATCGAACCCTTAAAGCCACCCGTAAAGTACCCTTCAAGGAACCCTGATAGAGCCCTTCTTGTAGAACCCTAAAGCCCCAACTTAACCTTTATAGTACCCGTGAGAGGAGCCCTTCTAGCACCCCTGCAGGGAGCCCCTACACCCCAGTGATGTGAGGCAAACCGGGCAGCCGGCTGCCCGGTTGCAGCGACAAGCTCTTCGGTGGGCTGGGTAAGGCCGGGAATTTCGGGGTGTAGGAGGGCTTTAGGGTTATAGCAAAAAGGGTGTACCGAGGATGTTTGCTGACTTAGGCGTCTCCCAGCTCTCGGGTACGACGGTCAGCTCGGTGTTCTTGCCTGCTTTCTTGCATCATCTCCTCCACCTTTCGTCCGTCCCCTTCTGGCTTGATGCTTAACTTCTGAGTTTTCTTGTTAGTTTAACCGTGTTTTTGCTGCTGGTGCGTTTTTGTTGTTGTTCTCTGCAGCTGAAGCCCCAGGAAGCGAGCAACCCAACCCTAATCCAAAGACTCGACCCACTCCCTTGGTTTAAGAATTACCTTTGAGGATCCCTAGTTATAGAGTTGGGTTAACCCCAAAAAGGATTCTACAACGGAGACCGCCTAAGCGCTAAACCCCCTAAGCGCTAAACCCTACCCCCCTTGGGGGAGGACCTGGACCTCGAGAAGCTCTTCCGTGCTGTCAACACCGACGAGGGGTGCCAGCGCAAGCGCCAGCGCAAGACCTCGCCGAAGCTTTTCCTAGGTTCGGCTCAGGGTGTTGAGTCTAGTTTCAGGGTGTAGGTTTGGGGGTCACAAACCGTTCTGGCCTTGATCGTCCAGAAACTTTTGAAGGATCGGAGCACAAGTCAGCCAACAGCCCATGATTGTGGGTAGTTGGGTGTATGTTGTTCTGTGTTCGTTTATGCCCACGTTCATGAAAATGTGTTTTATTTAATGTGGTGTTGTCTTTTTCGTCTTTTTCTTCTTGGCTATGTGGTGACTCTTATGTCGCTGGTGCATGGCTGAATGGCCGGTGCTTCTTGTTGGGCGTTGATGGGTTGCTGCTGCTGTGCTGGTGATGTTGTTGCTGCTGCTGCTGCTGCCGCTGCTAGTGTTGCTGTTGGTGGTGGTGATGCTGGTGGTGGTGGTGGTGGTGGTGGCGGTGGCGGCGGCGGCGGCGGTGGTGGTGGTGGTTGTGGTCGTCGTTGGCGTTGTTGTTGGTGGTGCTGGTGTGCTGGTGCTGGTGTTTGTAGCACCCTGGCAATATTGCTCCTTTTGTTGTTCTTGTCACGATTGTCATCGTTGTAGTCGTCGTCGCGGCGGTCGAGGACGGAGTTTTCTGCATGCTTAACGACGCATGTTTCGGCAATTGTCAGAGTCCGAAGAGGAACTCGGTCAATTCTTGTGGATGTTCCGGGGTTTGTGGGATGTCTCCATACCATGTCTTTCCCAGCTACGGTCTGCAATCCTGGAAAAACCACAACTAGCTTTCTGATCCACGGTTGTTTCATAGATCTCCGCTAGTTTGTGATGTCGATGCGCCAACCTACCGAGGACACCTTTTACGCTTCCTCGTGGAAAGATGGTGACCGTGCATGGACTGGTTGAGGCATCGGATGTTTCTGAGAAAGAAACTCAGCAAATACTTCAAAACTACTGGGGTGAACTCCATAGATTACAGGTTACCGGGGTGGGCAGTAGAAGTCTCGTTGCCCGGTCAGTTTGCGGAGGAGGGTCATCCCGAGCAAAGTCAGCAAGATCTTGCACAGGAGTTTATGATATTCTGTGTGAGTGCATGCTGCAAGAATGTACTCCGTGTGTGTTGAATTTGTGCAATTCCAGTCGTGGGTGCATGAGGATAGTTGATGGGTGGCATGTGTGACAATGCCCAGCAGTGGCATGTTCATTCCCGGGCTGACCCCCCGCCCCAAACGGAAGCCCGAAATCCTCAGACTTTAAACCCTCCTGCATTGCCCGAGTTGCGAGTGTCTAAACCCTAGTGTGAGCGCCGAAACCCTAAAGCCTAAAACGAGCCTTTTGCACTGTTCTAGAAACTTAAGTGGACCCTAGTCTAGAAACTAGAACCCTATAGCAACCTTAAAGGGGACCCTAGTCTAGAAACTAGAACCCTATAACACCCTCAAATAAACCTATGGGTCTCCGGGTTCTCAGCGCTTGGCACGGCGGGATTCAGTTTCCAGGGTGTCTCTCAAGCAATGATATATGGGTAGTTCTCAAAGGGATCTACCAGGGGTTTCTATAGTTCTCTAAAGGGATCCATAAGGGTTTCGATACGGGTACTCTTTGAGCAGTTTTCTATTTTAGGGTCCCTTTAAGAAGGCCCTTTTACAAGGGTGCCGTGTTGTTTTGGGGACTTAACAAGGGTCTTTGCCCCATGTCCGGGCCTCATAGGTTGCCTCTCAAACCACTCCACATGCAATAGGTAGGGTCTAACTAGGGCCTGGGTTCAAAAGCGAGATTGGAGCAGGCAATCGGGCACAACGGGAAGAAGGCGCAGGTGCAAGGCTACGATGCGGCGAAAGGCCATGGTTTTCGGTTCTAGGACCGTCCGAGTCGCTGCAGACCGGATGCAAAAGGGCCTGGACGGTGCTTAGTGCATTGCAGTCGCTGCTCAAAAAAAGGACCTGGACAGTTGGCCACCGCTAATGCACTCCCTGAACCCTAACCCTTATAATTTACCGTATATTCCTGAGCTAACGGGGTTTGGGCTCTTTGACAGAGTTTCTCGAAAGCTTTAAACTGAGAGGCCGATACGACGTGAAGATGCGGGGCGATGGCCCGGTAATCTGTGCACCTGGACCGTGATGGGGCGACTCTTTGGGGGTCTTTGGGATCCAGGGGGTTAGGGATCAAGCCTGTGTAGAAAAGAAAGGTTTAGGGTTTCGGGTTTTCTGCTTGCTGTAATTGCCATCAGCAGCCATTGGCTTCTACTCTGCCTGTGAAGGTGCCGGAGAGGATGAGAGCAGGAGATGTTGAGGATGCTGTACATATCATTGTCGGCATTGCCCCTGTTGCTGCTTCGTGTTCGCAACCGTTCAGTTGACAGTGCTCATGCACGACAACTGCGCATCAGCTAAACTCTCAACCCGTGACAGAACAGAGGCTAAGCCCTACCCTACATTCGCGTCTTCGGCTGTGATGGGCTCCTGGGTGGTCTGTCAAGCCCAACCAATCCCTTGAGTCTTGAGTCAGATCGCCACAAAGCGAGCGAGAGAAAGAAAGGGGGAGAGCGAGAGACGAATCTGAACGTTTAGTGTTCCTTCCGGGGTTGCCGGGGGCGAAAGTTGCTTGAAAAACCAAACGTCCCTTCAACAGTCTGGCGTGGCCAAACAGGAGAATTGCCCCCGAAGCCGGGTGAAGGACGCAGTAGTAGAAAAGTAACCTTTAACTTTTCTGTCTTACTATAACCCCCTGTATAATAATCCCAAAAATTAGGCTTTAGTTCCTCAGGATACTGGACACCAAAGACGTAAGCTCCTTTCTTTAAATATGATACCCTATAGTACCCTTACTTCATGGGCAAAGAGAGACCGGAGAGACTTGTTTTCAGAGACACCTTTGCAGCCGAAGGCCTGAGCTACAGATCTAGTGGGTTCCAGGGTTCTTTTTTTGTATATGTTCTGTTCATAGAA